AGCTGTATTTACTTTGCCGGGGGCACAGTAAACTGGCAAATCATCATGTACGATGTTAAAGTGAGAATATAGCTTTCCTCATGGGCTTGTCTACCCTATCTCACTGAAAAACCACTGTCAACACATGCCTGTGACTATAGATTTCTAGTTTAGACTTCAAAGCCCAGGGATGGAGCACGCCCTTGACTTGAATCCTCTTAAGGGTTTCCTCTAGTCTGCTTTAACAAAAACCAGGTGGAAGAGAAAAGCTAGGCAGCAGAAGCAATGTAAAGAGAGGTGCCAGGCCAATTAACGGCTGCTCTACACAGTGATCTGCCCTCAAGGAGGCCCAACAGCCCAGTTCACTGCATTGGTTTTCAAGATGGAAAGTCAAGGCTCCAGTAGAAGTCAGCTTATGAAGAGTCCTGGCAGCTCTGCTGGCCAAGAGTTGAGTCACTGGAAACGGAACTGACTTGGAATCAAAGGACTCCCAGGTCAGAGCTGCAGCCCTTGTTGGCTCTAAGCTGAAAAGCCCAGCTTCCAAAGCAACCACCGATGCTGAGTGGGTGGCCAAGCAGGGTCTGCATCACGGCAGGCAGAATTGTAAATTTCCTGTTGGAGATGCCACCAGCCTTTACCTGGCCAGGTCTCCTCCCAGGCCAGCTAGGTAATGGGTGCTAACAGTGTGCCTTCCCTAAGGAGGCAGACACCTCCTTTATGGTGTACTCCACGTGAAGAGATGGATGGGTCTGGGCCCCATAAGTGGTAAGGCCTTGGAGCCCACCTGATTATGGTCAAGCCCCTTCTGTCAGTTTCTATTTGCCTCTCAATAGGAAGACGAGCTCATGGTTTGGACAGCACCATTCCTAGGTCCTCTAGTGATTGCCTCTGTCCTTTGGTTTGGACCCTGTCTAGCCGACTTGGGGCCTCATTCCTTTGTAATTACCCTCTACTCTTACATCAGTGGCTTTAATCCTGACCCATGTGTATTGGTGGTCCTCTCCCCCTCACAATGTTGTATGATTATTCAGAATTTTTTATACAAACAAACCCTTCTACCCACAAAACAGGAGTGGACATTCTCCAGGTTGTGGTTGGGATCAGCTTTGCAGCCTCCCTCTCCTCAGCATTGATCTCAGGAACAGCTTTGGGCCACAACGTTATCTCAACCAACCAACTCCAAAACAACTCCAGCAGTTACAAGAGGAGGTCACCAGATCCACTGAGACCTCGGCCGACATCATCTGAGGACGTGATAATGGAATGAATCAAAGTTTCACCCACCAGGCGGACAGCCAAATGTTACTACAGGGATATACTCACACAGGAGATCACAACTTGAGAAAAGGCCAAGCCAGAGGAGAGTAACTCGTCACCCCATGGCAGCAGGAAGTTGCTCTAGAAGAAGGATCATCGTTGTAACAACCCTACTGGATGTTGGGGCCTATGTAACCCCATACATCACTTGCTTTATAAAAAAATGGGGGGAATGTTAGTAAAATGGTATGGTCTTATTTGGGATGCCATTTTAGGCTCTGACCCTGTCGCCATTTGTGCATTAAGCTTCTATTCTAAGCCCAGGCTGCCTAACTAGAAGTCAGGTGACCAAATGGCCCAACAACAAGTGTCCACTCCACCCCTCTTCTAATGGGATTTGCTGCTCCCACTTCCTGACCTCTGCAAGCTATATCACACATGTTCTTCTGTTACAGGCTGTTGCTATCTCACGCATGGGACAGCAGCCTATTGGGTTTCCCAATGCAACAATAAACCTTTTCCCTTAAAAAAAATAGGAACAGGCAATTTCCAGGGCTTCCACTCAGATTTCATGATGACAACAGCTCTTTCTTCTTAGCTAAATGAATGCAAATGTTGAATTTTTACATTTGACAACTGGGTGGATGAACAGCAGGTGTGTCTGTGAACTCAGCAGACAGACTGAGCCAATATTCCACACACATTCTGATGACCACTTCCTAATTCTCATGCTGACCGTTTGAGTATCCAGCTGTCAATATCAACTCAGAATTGGTATCAAATAACATTCAGTTACATGGATACTCCATTTCCCCCTGAATAGATGGCCATAAGTATCTTTGGAAAGGGACTGAGGAGGCCAGTACTGAACTCACTTGGTTGGTCCTATCTCCAGGCCACTGACCTTTCTGTCACTTGACATGATGTATCCAGGTACATGGTAGCTGCAGTTCCTGAATCATGTTTGCAAACATCAATTGGGTTCACTTCCTTCAAATATCTTTACATTTACTCAACTGAATTCCTTTATCATGGCACTCTAAGAGTCAATAAAAAGATTCAAAAGAAGTACATGAGGAAAGAAATTACAGTCTTCTGGGTAAAAATAGAGGCATGGCTGAGGCAGAGTTGACATTTTGTATGTGTATGATCCTGATGTCAGTTATCAATTCTACTTTCTGACTATGGGCAACATTAGGCATGGAGTCTATAGGGCAATGGCTGTCTTAGTTTTGAGTTTCTTTTCCATATATACCCCCAGTGAGCTTTCTAAAGAAATCGTCCACTGTGGCTTGTGTGTTATTGGTTCATTCTTATTCATGGAGGATGGGTGGTCATGTTACCAGCATGATTGAAAAGCGTTAACACCATAAATACTAAAGACAATCACAAGCACTTGGTCTGTAATGCTCAATGTTTAGGGTTTTAAATTCAGGGTCTTCTCTATTATGTTGTTAAAACATTTGTATTTAATTATTTTAGCTATGTCTGTCTTCAATTCACACTTCTACAAATGGATGCAATACAGCAATTTAGAAGGTGCTTCTCAAGCTTGGTGTCCTATTGGGATTACTGAGAAGCTTAAAACACTTCTAAGCCCAGGCCACATCCCACACCAATGGAATCAGAATGTCTCTGGGCAGAAGCCAGGACCGGTGGTTTCTGACATTCCCCAGGTGACTGCAAGAGGCAACTTGGAAAGCCACTGGCTGGGCTGTGACTGCACACCAGTCAGTATGAAGCCTGAGCTGTGCCTTGTAGCTGTGGTGAGAGTTCACTTTATCCCCCTCAACCTGTGCAGAAACCACTCTCCTGATAATCAACAACTCTTTCTTTAAGGTTTTATTCTTCGCTTAGCCACTCATACACAGTACATCCAGTGAAAAATCTGCCCCCGGGGACATCATGCTGCTTCACAACACAGTGGTTTAAATCTGTCTTTTCAGCTTAGCAAACACCAGCTTATGACTAAAACATGTCAATAAGTGTTTGATAAGGAAGTAGGTAAGATAATATTCTGCAAAGTGCTCCGTCTTTAATTAATGAACTTAAAGATGTCATCATGGGTTACCAACTCATCTCCCCCCACATTTCCTTGGCACAGGGGCCACAGATGGATGGGCTGTATTCATCATGTTATGACACAGTAGTGGTCCAGCAATTTGTTTGGGCATTTCTGATCCTATAAGCTTCCACCTCATCCTCAGTACAAATAAATATAAGATGATTCTCTTTGATCTCGAGGCTCTTTTCTTTAAAGTGTTTTTATTTATTAAATTTTTACAGGCATACAAAATAGTATATAGTCATGAGTTCCCTGTGATGTCTGATACGTGCACACATTGTATAATAACCAATCAGAGCAAACATATCTACATCTGAACAAGTTCAACATTTCTTCAGGGTGAAAACATCTAGTACTAGACACTTTGCAGTACATTCTGTGCAGTCACCCTGCTGTGCAATAGAACCCAGACCTCCTCTCCATAGCTACAATGTAGGACCTGTTAATTAACCTTCCCAATCCCTTCTTCACTATTTCTCTCCCCAGCCTCTAGTAACCACCTTTTTACTTCTATGAGATCATCTATGTTGATGCCACACTACGGGGTGTATACCCAAGGGAAATGAAATAAGATTGCTAAAGAGACATCTGCACTGCCATGTTTCCTGCAGCACTAATCAAACCAGCCAAGAAATGCAAACACCTAAGTGTCCATTTGAATAAAGAAAACATGTTATGCATGCATGAAGGAATACCATTCAGCCATAAAAATGAAATCGTGTCACCCACAACAACATGGATGGAATGGAGGCCACTGTGTAAGACAAGAGTCACATGATCTCCCTTTTAGAGCAACGTCAGGGCTGAGACTCAACAGAGACAGGAAGATGGCAGTGTGCAGGTTAGAGAAGACACCAGAACACGGGGCAATCTCCCTCGGCTTCCTTGGACAGTAAGTCAGGGAAACAGAGGACACCACTTAGTTCATCTTGTAAAGCCAAGGGACAAGAAGTCAAAGGGACAAGGAAACCAGTCCTGGGGGGAGAGCTGAAGAACTAACCATTAAGGTGCAGGTGATCATACTACTCAGTCTGTCCAGGTGGGCCTGAGACTTGAAGATGTTTCAAAAGAAAAAGCAACATAAAAACTTCACCACTTAGATTTCTTCCTTAAAACATTTCTGTTTCTCATGAAAAAGTCTAAACACTGGGTCGTGTTCCACAGAGGGAAGGGATGTGTCCTAGAAGCCTTTTTCTCTTCACGCCCAGGGTCTTTTTCAGAGTTTGTTTCCTGCCCATCTTACAGATAATGGACCTGTTATCACTCTGGAATGGAACTCTATCAGCCTGGATTGGCAAAAGGAAGATCAGGACCTAGAAGAATCCTTACAAAACTGGAGTCCACATGATGTGCTGTGCACGACCACACAGAGGCAGACAGCACCAAGAAGACGAGTGTCACATGACAGCTTTCCTTGAGCAACTCAACAATAACAACACATGGCAGGCGATTCAGGAAGAGCTGACCCATGAGTCCTAGCACTCCAGGAAAGGGAAATAATGTTTCCCACCTAGTGTGAACATTTCAGGCAGGAAAACACACTTACCTAATTTGATAATCACCTATTCATTGGAACAAACAATAACAAGGAAAGAGCACTGCACCTGATGCCAGAACCCCTCAGCAGGGTATAAAAGGGGACCACAGTCAGGGAGACACCCACACCTCACAAACCCACCGTCTGTAAACCCACAGCAACCTCCACCCTCTGACACCATGGTCAACTCCTGTTGTGGCTCCGTCTGCTCTGAGCAGGGCTGTGGCCAAGACTTCTGCCAGGAGGAGTCCTGCTGCCGCCCCAGCTGCTGCCAGCCCACCTGCTGCCGCCCCACCTGCTGCATCTCCAGCTGCTGCCGCCCCAGCTGCTGCCAGCCCACCTGCTGCCGCCCCACCTGCTGCATCTCCAGCTGCTGCAGGCCCCAGTGCTGCCAGCCCAGCTGCTGCCGCCCCACCTGCTGCATTTCCAGCTGCTGTAGGCCCCAGTGCTGTCAGCCCTCCTGCTGCCGCCCCACCTGTTGCCAGACCACCTGCTGCAGAACCACCTGTTGTCGCCCCAGCTGTTGCATCTCCAGCTGCTGCAAGCCCCAGTGCTGCCAGTCTGTGTGCTGCCAGCCCACCTGCTGCAGACCCTCCTGCTGCATCTCCACCTGCTGCCGCCCCACCTGCTGCATCTCCAGCTGCTGCAGGCCCATCTGCTGCCAGACCACCTGCTGTAGAACTCAATGCTGCCGCCCCAGCTGCTGTGTGTCCACCTGCTGCCGCCCCTGCTGCTCTAGTGGTTCTTGCTGCTGAGCCTTTCACCTCCACTCACCTGTTCTTCATGAACTAATACTCTTGATGTAGTCAATCTATGCACTGTATTGTGAGGGCCCAATTTTGGAACTTTCATTTTCTAAT